ACCTCAGTGATACCTTCTTAGGCATTGTAGTAGTTGTATTTGTGATAGTTACAATGCTATTAAATAATCCGATTCAGTAATGTGATGAGCCAATGGGGTCCCAATTATTAGTTAACTAGTTAATACAGTTAATTAATTAGTCAATTAATAACTGTAGTTCCCCTCCCCCTTTATTTTAATCTGTGTCAATTGTACTTGATGGCTGGGGGGAATTCCTCACCACCAATCAAGAGGCAAACAGTCAAATGATGTGCTTGCATTGTGAATCAGGCCTATGTATCCTTTGATTCATCTTCCACTCTTGGGAAGAGTTGTAGAGGCTTCATTGAAGTGAATGGCTGCTCTGGGACAGGATAGTGGAGAGCACCTTCTAGGAACATAAAGATAAAATCACCAGCCTATATGTTTTGATTTCCTTTCTAAGGCTTCTGTAGAGCTGCTTTCAGTGATGTCCAAATGTACTTCAGCTTGATATTTATATTTATTTTGTGTATTTTGCTGTTTAAACATCAATGGCTGCTTCCAACAAACTTCTAATTTGTCTTGTCCAAACTGTATGATCCAGGGTTGCCAGATTTGTTTTCTGCCAAGACTTCTATCCTTGTAAATAGTTCATGGAATGCAGAAATGTTAACAGCTAGAGGCTTTTCAGTCATTTTTTCTCTATCCTGGAGTGGCAGGAAATCCACTTGCCATTTGATTTTTAAAGTCCTGCAATTATTTTATTTTATTTTATTTTATATTTTATTTTATTTTGCCAGACCTGACTCGTACAGTTGGGACAAGTGAAATAGCCACCTGATTAGAAGGGGTAAACAACCTTGCTAAGAAAAGTTTCATGTCTTCGAAAATATCATACGATAATTTTCCATAGTTGTAAATGAACCTCTGGTCAGTACAAAAATTCTGTGTCAAATCAATCTCCCTGCGATACTTTTTATGGTATTTAAGCCTCATTTTGGTAAAATAGAAGTGGTAATATTCATGTTGAATGTGCTGAAATGACTTGAAACGTAAGAAACTCAAATGACTCTGCTACATTCTTAACATTTTACTACAACTAATTTTTATCATTATCTCCTTGGTATTTCCCTGATGCTAACAGAAACTAAACTTTAAAGTGAAAATGATGAAGTCTTGTAATTAATTTTGCATTGTTCAGTTTTATGTGGATTGTTGTGTGCAATAAGATCTACTAGGATCATGTTATAAAGAGATGTTAGTTAAAAACCTGATTTTTTGATGTTTGAAAGCTTTGCGAACTCTATAAAACATTATATGACATTCTCAAGTTTCCATTGCTGTGGAGTGCATAAAAGTTCTAGGAGTCTGCTATGCAGATCCCCACTTTTGTTGAAATATTTAAACTGCTCAAAGGAAAGGTCATCATCTGCCTTACACAACTTGCTCTTCATAAACTGGGTGCACACAAACACATACACATCTTCTGCACGTAAGCCAACATGTAAAAGAAGGACCATTAAAATAACCACAAAACCATGTTTTCTATGATATGAAATGTACCTGCTTAGGTGTTGTCTTGTTCCTTCATCTTTTTTCCCCCCTGCATCTACCCCAACCCCCGCTTAAAATGAAGAAATATCTGCTTCCACATTACCCTCCTCATCCCCTTTAGGAGATAAAGATGTTCATCCGTGTGCTGAAGACTTTCTCACTGTGCCATCACCATTCAGCATGACGTTGGTTGTGTCTTAATGGTAGAATCCTCCCCACCTCCTTCAATACGATAAGGAGCGGGAGCAGCACATGGGGGGAACCCGGCTAATCAGAAGTCAGCAGAGTGCCTGATCTCCTTCAGGAGGAACTTGGAGAGGGGGTAGGGCTTCTGAAGCAGAAAGAGCCAAAGCCCCACTGCCCCCACCCCGGGGCTGACATTTTTATTCCTGTTCTGGAGATCTGTCTGATTCACTCACTCAGAAGCATTAGTTCATAGGTAAACACTTTTCAGGAGGCTTAAGGAGAAAAGTGAGAATATATTTTAATTAAGTGTCCTGATTGTGTTTTTTATGGATTTCTATTGGGTGTATTCCTATTTAATTGTTTGCTTGTTTTTATTTAGTATGTTGTATCCTGCTGTCTCACCCAGTGAGATATAGGCAAACTAGAAACTAAATGAATGAAGAAATTGTATCCTTCCTTCTCTTAGCCAAGATATTGAAACTTGTGTTGATGACACCCTTGAATGAATAATGAAGCTGTATCCTATTTTGGAGCAGTAATCATGTCCTAATCAACCCCATTGCCTTTGGTTCATGCACACAGTGGGAGGTGATGCTGTAATGCTGTGGAGCAGGGTGAGCCCCTCCCTTCCAACACGCGGAAAGCACCAGCTGGATCTTCCACAGGAGTGTGTTTTCTTTGCCTCAAAAAAAATGGAGAGAGGTCACACACACAACCTGGGCCTTCTCTGTCTGATTGGGCGTGTCCATGTTGGAGTCTTAACAGCTCGGGGGAGTGATTTGCAGTACTCCAAATTGGTAGACTCTTATTGGAAACAGCAGTTCTAATCTTTTACCTGTATGGTGCCATTGGTTAGTATGAGGCTAGTCACCCACTGAATTGCGGCCTTAAGTGTGTAAAACCAATTCTATGGGTGGACAGAAGGAAACCTCCAGACGTTTGAGACTTCAACTTCCAGAAGCCCTTTGGCTGATTGTGGGGAACACGGGATTGGTACACTTTCTGCCTGGCCATGATAAACCAAGTTCAACTCCTGTTACTAAAGTTCAGGAGGTAAAATAAGAGGCAAGCAACAGCATAAGACAGAAAATCCATATAGGCTGCTTGTGATCCTGGTTGAATTCTGGCTAAACATCCTGCATAGGCCATGCCCAGGTGCCAAATATCATATTTTAAGTGGTCATTGAGCAAAAAACTCTTTATACTAGCAGGACTCCAGTTCCATTCATATTGTTTACCTTTATCTGTGAGCAAATAATTCTGTGGACTTTATTACCTACCATACAAAGGCACTTGGTTTTGTTTCAATAGGTCTGAATAAATTCCAGCTGGGACAGCCTCTTAAGTAACTGAATTACAATGCTGAATTTTATTATCCTAAGGCTGAAGCTCAAGTCTAGCACTTCGGGATCTCAGACACTCATAAGACCAATTTGTTGCTCTTACCAATGAGCTTTGCTCTTCCCATGAAGTCCTTGGGTTATGCCTTCAGGAATACAGTATGGGATATATCAAGTTATGGGGAGCCCATGTTTGTGAGTCTAGCTTTCTGTTTTTATCTCGGGGAAGAGCTAGATAACATGCTCGCTGGAAAGGACTATGTGGGAAATTTATTAGGAAGGCTGTTGTTAAATGGCATATTTATTGCATCGGATTTATTTCTTTTAGCCTTAGAAAGCAAGCATATCCTGACTCATCAGAAACGTCAGGATAGTTTGTTGCAATAATGGAGAAAATAACCATAATTTTCTGGCAGGTGTCTTACTAAACGTTGAAATAGTCCTGTTTTTCAGTTACAAGAAAACTGAGTCACACTTTGAAAGGGTGCAGCCAACAAAAGGGAAAAGA